TTACTCAGCATTACAAGAGAATAAAATCATGGCATTTGCAGGTAAATGGATGGAGTTGGAGAATATAATGCTAAGTGAAGCAAGCCAATCCCAAAAAAMCAAAATAAAATGTTTTCTTTGATATGAGGATCCTGGGGAGGAATGGAGGGCAAGGGGGGTAGGAATGAGTTAGACATCATTAACCTAAGTACATGTATAAAGGTACCACTTTGTGTACAATCAGTGACTTGAAAAATTGTGCTCTCTGTGTAATATGAAATGAACTGCATTCTGCCCTCATGCATAACACATTAGAATAAATAATTTAATAAAAAAGACAAGTTTAGAAATTGTAGAGGTTACTTCTGTGTAGAAAATCGTCTTCAAAAGTAAACACCCTCCCTCAAAAAAAGGTATTAAGTTTTTAAGTAACATCTATTTCATACATGAGGAAGCAAACTCAAGAGAGGAAAGGTGGTATGCCATGACATCACACCAGTCAGAGACACAGCTGGGCCAACACCCACACTCCTGACATCACATTCTATTGGGCTTCATTTCAGAAACCTGAGCAGAACAAGACTCAGTGTAAACCCTGCCCCAAACTGTGATCCACAGCACCTGTTGCCCAACATGAGACCACAGCGACCCCTGGTGACCAGGCTTATTGCAACACCAAAACATCTGATAAGTTCCCTAGCCAACATGTACTAGACCAAYATCTCTGAAATTGAAGCCAGAAACTCCCAAAGCTTTCAGGAAGAATCTCACAGGACTCTGCTGTAGAGTACCGTGTTAAAATGAGAGAAACGTGCCAGGCAGAGCTACACAGTATTGTACCCAGGGACAATAAGACAGTAAACAGAGTTTAAAGTCAGCTTACATATGGCCGGTGAGGTTAGTTGGGTTACAAGGGCCTTCTATCCATTGGCTAATCTAATAATTTTGTGGGCTCAAAATTAACCACGTGGCCCCAGGGAATTCAAGTTAGTACACAGTGGCCTCTGGTTATGAGAACCTAATAAGTGGAGGGGTTGGGTGTGTGGACTAAGCTGCTCTAAAAGGGAAACATTACAGCCAGACATGGTGGTAAATACCTAATCCCAGCAACTCTGGAGGCTGAGATAGGAGGCATGAAGTTCAAGGCCAGCCTCAGCAATTGGACTGGGGATGTAACTTAGTGGTAAACAATTCTTGGGGTTCAAGCACCAGTTTAAAAAAGTCGGGGGGGGCGGGGAGGCAGAGAGGGGTGGGTTAGGGAGACTGGCTACAAACCAGGACTACAAAACAGATTCATCTGAGTAAAGAGAACTTTGGTAAGGAAATAAAATATTGCAAATAATTTTTGGAAAGATAACACATTTTTATGTAAACCTGTATGTCCAAGAAGATTAAGAAAAACAGAAAACTTATAACTGATTAACTCTACTTACCAAAGTTGTGCTGAGCATCTAAAGCACTCAGAGAGTTGGGCTGGGGATGTGGCTCAAGCGGTAGCGCGCTCGCCTGGCATGTGTGCGGCCCGGGTTCGATCCTCAGCACCACATACCAACAAAGATGTTGTGTCCGCCGAGAACTAAAAAATAAATATTAAAAAAAAAAAAAGTACTCAGAGAATAATTTAGACCTTAAATGTTTATATTAGAAAAGAAGAAAGGCTAAAAGTTCGGGAGAAGGGTGTTTGACTGGAAAAGGAGGCAAGAGAAAAGTAACARGGGATAAACCATGGGGGTCATAAGAAAGAATATAAGAGCAGAAATTAAACAAGTTCAAAGGAAAAGAGACCCATTAAAATATTTGAAAACACTAATAAAACTGACAGACCTGTAAGGAAGTTAARGGGGGGAAACAACTTTAGAATGCAAAGGGAGATATACAATTTTAAAAAATATTATGAACTTTATCACAATAAAAGGTAGATAAATCTTACCAAAACTGGCTCAAAAAAACAAAATCTGATGATTTTTAACATCATCCAGTAGTTTAAATGCTTGACACAAAAGCAGATTCATACACACTCAAAAAAAGTTTCCACGAATTCTACTAAGTATCCGAGGTACCTACGGTTTTAATCTCAGGCATCTTCCCTCCCCTTCTGAAATAAAAAACAACTCTAAACTCATTTGTTCAGGTTAGTACTATAATTTTGATAACAAAACTAGACAGAAAGTAGGAAAACATAAAATTGTTCAATTTCACTCATGAATATATAGGGCAAATATCCTATATGAAATGTTAACCCATAATGATCAAGTTAGCTCATTTCAGAAAAGCAAAGTTGGTTTAATACTAGAACATCTATTTTATGCATATCTCCACATTAACAGAGAAAAGCCATATGCCATAGAAAGAGCCCTGAATAAGAAAAAAAAAAAATCTACCATTTGTGACAATATAAATGAACCTGAGAGGCACAGATAAGTGAAATAAGCCAGGCACAGAAAGACATAATATGAGGAATCTAAAAAACCCAACTCAAAGAAGCAGAGAGTAGAACAGTAGTTACCAAGGCTTGGAAGAGGGAGGAAGGGCTAGGGAACGTTGATCAAAGGCTACAAATTTCAGTTGGGGGGAAATAAGTGCAAGATGTCTAAAGGCAATATGTTGACAAATATATACTTGAAAATTGCTAAGAGATTTAAGTGTTCTCAACACTTCAAAAAACTATGAAGTAGTTAATGCATACATAAACTAGCATGATTAAACCTTTACACCATGTATACCATAAATATATATAATCTTTATTAGTTAAACAACAACAACAACAGTATTGGTAATTTAGGTGGTGGTAGGATGGGAAGTCAGCTTCCTAAGCACAAAAAAGAAATTTTACCTTAGAAGGTAACTTTTTYAAAATGCTAAAAATCCAACAAACCTGCTATCCAATTGTAAACAAAAGTCATTCCTTTAAAAATTAGGACCATGGCTGGGCRTGGTAACACATGCCTATGATCTAGCAGCTGAGGCAGGAGAATTACAAATTCAAAGCCAGCCTCAGCAAAAGCGAAGCGCTAAGCAATGCAGCAAGACCCTGTCTCCAAAGAAAATACAAAATAGGGCTGCAAATGTGGCTCTGTGGTCGAGACCCCGAGTTCAATCCCTAGTACCCCTCGCAAAAAAAAAAAAAAAAAAAAAATTAGGACCATGACTGTAATGCCCACCACCAATTCTATGATAGCCAGTAGGAAAAGATAAGAGTTAAGAAGATATAATGAATTCAACAAATTAAACAAAAATCAGATGTATACTTAACAGTGAACAAAGCCTTTTAAAAATTTTCATTTAAAATAACAGAACAAAAAGTTTAGAAATAAAAGGAGATGAAAGGCTTGTATTCTGAAAACTACAAAATGTTGTTGGAAGAAATAAAAGATACAAGTAAATGAGGAAATGGCCTATGCTTACAGACTGGAAGACTTAGTATCGTCAAGTCAGTATTACCCAAAGTGATCTAAAGATTCAGTGGC